CAATGTTTTAAGGATTTATCGACTGCGATTATTTCCGGGCCGTGGAGTTTACAGATAAACCATCACCGCCATTCAAGGACGCGCCTATTCCCGGCATCAATATTCGCTCACCGCCATATGGCAATTCGAATTGGCTGTAAGAACGGGAGGTAATTGTCATTGATGTGACGACCGCGTGCGTTTAGGATTGCGGCCCACATTACGCCCGCAAGCGTCCGGATCGCAGAATAAAACTGCATTTCTCGATCGTCCTCTCGATAAACCTGCTGCGAAGTAGTTCCTCGCGAGAACTCGGTCCGCACCGATTCCGATTGCGTGCGATCGTATCACGTCGACGATTCTTCGCGCACGCGGGCGTAAGTTGTTCCAAGCCCTTACCTCTTCCTCGAAAGACGCCAGAGTAAATTCGACGATGTACGCACGAGAAAAAAAGTTTCGCGCGAACAAACGCGAGCAAACGCGAGAGATACGTATACGGACGCTTAATGTCGGCGACTATCTATATATAGCATGCGCATACGCTCGCGCTCGCAGCGTCATAAAATGTCTTCCACGTAAAGTTACACCAATTTTGGGCGTATGTACACTAAGCATGCGCATCGTATCTAAATATCGATGTTAACGACTCTGTGAATCTATTCAACAAAATAATTCTGTTCGTCAGACGCAGCTTCAGTTTGATGACTTTTCCTCTGTAACATTAGTAATTAAAAAATAAACAAAGGTGCGATAAGACAATCGTTCCTTTATTTACCGTCGATATATTACCGGTAATTAAAAAATTCGATACCTGTCTGATGTCGATAATCATTGTAACTTATTCCGGCATTCACTTCCCGGCAAATGCTAACATGTTATAGAAAATTAAGCAACGAGACAAAACTACTAAATGATGATAAGCTGCTTTAAAAAGACAGTATACTTATTGGAAACTATATAGGTGATGATTCGAAAAAAAAGATTACCCATAAATTTTTAAACAATAATTTATTGAGACCAGAAATAAATGTAAGTAAAGTAAAAATCAATATTATTTTAACATTAATTTCTCTCACATTCCATTCCATTGCGTTAATTAAAGTTTTAAGAACTGAGGTTTTTAAAGTTTTTAATATCTAAAGCGTAAGAATAATTAACATATAAATGCATTGTGAAATACTATACATATTCATATCCTGCAAACGCTCGCGCGAATACAAAGTAAAATTATATACGAATTTTTAATAATTATTTATTCATTATTTATGTAGATGATACCTTACATATAATTTTGTATTGCATACACCACACAGATATAAGTTGTTATATTTAACACTTAGCTTTGTAAAATATTCGCAAAAGAAAATTGTCAATAGTGATCTCAATCATAAATACTACTGTTAATAGATAGTCTTCTTATAAAAATACAAAGGTTCATTTAAGATATTTTTACTGATACATATAAAATACATTGATTTAATATTATTCAATATAATGATGTAATATAATGATAATTTATATTAGTGATATTAGTATATTTTTAATGGCAGACATTTATGGAATATTCTGTCCATAAGAAAGTTCTCCTTTTACATTGCAGCTAATTGCTAAGATAGACCTAATTGGTCTGCACATGATGATCAGAAGGGCTAATATTTTGCATGGGCATCGTTCCCGATCTCGATGCAATAGAAATAATATTCGAAGCTACGTCACCTTCGTTAGTTAGAATCTTGCCAAATAACATCCTTACAAATTCATAATTTTGGCAACCAAATTGCTTTAATAGCTCCCATATGATCTTTTTTCTACACACAAATATGATGAAAATGATGAGACCTTGTAAAGTGATTATCATGGGAAGGATACCAGACGAAATGTGATAGAAATTCGAGCTGATGTGGTAGCATCTCTGAAAACCAGCTTATTCCCATCATTACGAATAACTTGATATATAAATGAAACCTATAAGCAAATATATTTCTGTATTACCTCATTCCAATAAATGTTTAGATTATCATTTTAACAATTATTTTTAGATATATGAAACATATGTTTTTATTTAAACAAGTAATAATATACTTAATAAGGTACTTTGCTTTGCATAAGAACATTATTTTCAATGAAAAAAAAGAAAAAAAATAATTGATCTCTGCTCATTTTCATCACGGCACTTTCTCTCCGAGTCACTCATCTCGTGATTAATTTGCCTAGTCAGCATTATCACTGTAGTGACTAGAAAGAAATGTTGCTAATAACGGTAATACTTATAGGCAGGAAAAAGTAATAATACTGTGCGCTTTTCACTAAAATAAAAAAACATGATTTGTAGTTACTAATACATGTAGATATTACATGTATATATTTACGATTGAAAATTCTTAAGTTCAGTCAACAACAAAATTCTATTAATAAAGCATTGTCAATGTCTCGTACGAGGAAACCAAAATCTTCCGTTACATATTTGTGGTTTTTTCCATGCGTCTTTCTTTATTGTCAAAGATATGGTATAATCCATGAAAGCACAAATAGCCGTGAGAATGAAGGCAATTGCATAATTCGCCCCATGCATAAATCGAATATATTATCTTCTTTTTCTCTTTATGCTTGTGAATTGATTGATATGAACGGAGTCCTCTGTAAAATGCAATTTATATTTAATCAATAACGTATTATCAACATATATGTTTATTCAAAGATGAAAATACCTTTTCATAAAATTTCTTATCTGATTAATTCTGTTATTTTAGTATCTTATTTCACACCATTTAAGAAATATAAAAGCCTTTAAAATTATTTTCTGCTTTTCTATGAAATTGAATAAGATATATATTTAAGGTATGAAAGATTTGATTATTTACCGGAATGTCCAATAAATGTGCATGAATTAGAATACAGATTCAATAATTAATATATCAGAAGCTTATTTCCATACATTATGTACATACAAATATCCAAAATTTAAATATTATCTGTTATCAATATTTTTAAGACTTAATATTCTTAAGACTTAATAATTTCGGTGTTAATTATTAAAAAAATTAAATATTTATATATCTAGCCTAATGTATAATTTAATCACACACGCACACCTACCCACACATACACACAAATCTATATTATTATATTATATAGTATACGTATATTATACCCAATGGAATACTTGACAAAACTTTGATTTATGTATTCCCTCAACTAGATCAATGGGCATAATCATGTATGCGATGAATAATGATGCGATCTGTGCACGTAACATGTAACCATGAATATTTTGGAGTTTTGTAGCAGTACGGAATATACTATGAACGTCAACAATATAAACAGTAGGGACACTAAAAAACATGTGGATATAAACATTGAAGACTTCAAAAACTGCTTGCACATCATATCCTTTTAAATCTCTGTTGAGGCAATAAGATGTTGGTTCAAATGGTTTTTTGTCTCTCTTGTGGAACAAACTGCCGTTGACGAAGAAGGAATATGAAGGAATATTATAAGCAAGTTGAATGTTATATCCCAGTGCATAGATAATAGATGGTTATTGGAAATAGTTGATCTAACTTACTATACTTTTCCAGAAATATTACTGTACTTATTCGGACATTTGGAAAAGAAATATTAATCTTTTGATACCAGTACTCTGTACTTTACAATTTCCCTCTGGCGTCAGACTTTCACTAACAGGACAACAGAGCTGAATGCAGTTTGCATTTCTGTTTTTACATGTTTCATATGGCATGATAGTTTTATCATAATATATTTTTATAGCTCTCTTGAAATTTCCATAATTGTATGACGTGAAATTGGTGTTACCTTCGGTCTTGGTGAGATTCTTATTAATTTTTTCCAAGTTGATATTTTTGTTATTGATATTTGTAGAATTCGCGCTGGTATCCACCAGATAATTCTTTTCATAGTGATTCATAGTATCATTATGGGATTTGTTCTGAATCAATATTTAATCATTATCTTTGTGATCATTCTTCGTTAAATTAATATAAGACTCATTTCGTTAATTTCTTTCCTGGTAGAATTCACAAAAAATTCATATTGCATTTTTGAATTGTCACTTTGCTCATTATCGTTCGAAATATTTTGTCGAGATTTCAAGGATGAAACAACAAATAGAAATATATTGTACCAAAGTAAAACATTTGGTGGACGCATTATGAAACTGACGTATCGAAATCATAAAATGAATTATAATTCTTTTTTATTACTTTAAACAAATATTCGACATAGAAACGGACAACTTTCGTGAAACTTTCGTGTTACAATAGTTTTGTCTGGAAAACAAGAATAAATTTATTTTAGAAATTAATATGCGAATCATAGAAAGATTGATAATAAGGGTATAATACAGATTTTCGGTTAGATGACAGTGACAAAGAGAAATATTTGGAATCCAGATAGAACGATCTTATATTCTAATATATGTGTTGTAAATAATAACGAAAATTTATAAAAGGACATCGAGAAATCGAATTAACAGGGAAAGATGAAAGTTTTATACATTTTCTCCAATTAATTCTGCTAGTTTCATTTTAATATAAGTTTTAAACACGTATACGATAGCAACCAATACATCGGAAGTGTCTAAAAACATCTAGCTCCCATGTAGTTTTTCCTATCTAGCCCCCATATAGTTTATCTTATCTAGTTCCCATATTTTTCCATTTAGCCCCCACATAGTTTTTCCCATCTTCTTCCCACATAGTTTTTCCCATCTTCCTCCCACATAGTTTTTCCCATCTAGTTCCCACATAGTTTTTCCCATCTTGTTCCCACATAGTTTTTCCCATCTTCCCATATAGTTTTTCCCATCTTCTTCCCACATAGTTTTTCCCATCTAGTCTCTATCTAGTTTTTCCCATATAGCCTCCACATAGTTTTTCCCATTTAGCCCCCACATAATTTTTTCATATAGCCACCACATAGTTTTTCCCATCTAGTCCTCACATAGTTTTTCCCATATAGCCCCCACATAGTTCTTCCCATTTATTTCCCATACAGTTTTTCCCATTATAGGGGTATTTTGAAAATATCACGAACTTTTTCAAATATCCCTCTGAATTTTTTGGACATCTTCCCACTATGCAAGAAACTATGGAAAAGCCAGAAAAATTGCAAATTACAAGATAAGTTAGTTACAGATGGATAAGTTAGAATTATAATTTGCTATTTGTATTGCTATTTGTTAATATTTTTTTTTATATTTACTGTAATGCCGTTAATATTTGAATTATGATGTCATGTGATGAGTATACAATCTGTCAAATCTAATTTTTGAGAGATCTGAAGGTTTCTAGTTAGTCATCTATTTTGTTGTTTTATATTTATGAGTGTACTTCGAGAATTTTACATTAATCTTGTAACTTTTTGAGACCTCTGAATTGTACGGGTGAGTTTCGTTTTTATACAATTTTTATGAAACAACAATTACGCTTCGCATTTCTTCTCCTATCTTACTTCGAATTTTATTACTTTCGCCGAGTCTGCTTTTCGCACTTTTTTGCAAATCAATCTATGGTCTATAATGGCCCACGAGTATAAGGAGTAATAGTATTAGTAATCAATCATGTAATAAGAATTATATGTGTATGAAATTTCTTGATTATCCGGTTTTTAACCGGTTTTTCTTGAAAAATATTTATATATAATTTCATTATAGCCAGAATGAAGATAATTGATAATTATTTCAAAGGTTAAAGAATTTAGAGAATTTAAATTATATATTTAGAGAATTTAAATATCAATTGCATATAACAAATTATATGAAACTTATCAATCATTGATCTTAATTTAATAAAATTTTGTAAAATTAATCTGCATTAGCATCAAATTATATACAAATATAATATTATATTTTGTATTTACAAGTGAAAGTGAAAAGATGATAAGAAAGCTTATTTGTTACACCTTTTTTCCACAAATTATTATCGTTGAAGCAGTTTGATTCAAATGTGCATTATGAAAATAATATATTAAATATTACTTCTAATGATAGATTTTAAAATGATAGCTGATAGATGACGATATCACTGCGATTGATTCCTATTCACTTCCCAGCAAATGCACTCTATCGAATGTATTCGAGCAAGCAACGAGACAAAACTACCGAATGATGAGCTATCGATTTCTTTAAAAAGGCAGTAGACTTTGGAAAATTATATATATATGGTGGTTCGGAAGAAAAAATTATCGATACATTTTTTAAGAAAAGAATTTGCTATGATCAGAAAAAAAATATAAGTAAAGTAAAAGTAAAAAATAAATAATGTAAAAATCGATATGGTTTTAATATTCTCTTGCGTCCGTTAAAGTGCAAGGATAGAAAAATATGAGAGGTTAAGCTCTTGAAAATTGGTAAAGCATTAAAACAGCAAAAAAAAGCAATTTCAAAAAATCTTTGAAATTCTGGATAATAAAACTTTCTTAATGATTATATTTTCCTGGTGCTTTATCGATATTCGCAAATTTAGATTTTTGCAATTATAATTACCACTCTACAATCAAATTACAATTATCAAACTTGAAATTTTTAGAATCTTAATTCTTAGAATTCATTAATTTAATATATGGGAATGGATATAAAGAATTTTGCATATAAATCGCGAATAAATCAAATTATTAAAGCAAATTTTATATTTCAAAATAACAAAGTGTACATTATTAATAATGATAAGGCATCATGTTTGCTGTAATCGTTATCAGTCACTTAAGAAGATTATTAATTACTTTTTCTATCATTCATCTATCAACTAGTACGCAGGCACGTGACGCATTTTGTGGAAAGTGATGTGCTGGAGTGGTTCTTTCGTTGAGCGCGGCAGTCGCAACGCTGCTCCGTGTTGCCTTATCTGTCAAAAGTGACAAGCCCGAAAGCGGACCGGGTGGCTCCTGCCGAGATCCAGGCGACGCAATGGCGCACTGGTTTCATCGTAACGTGTTGAAAGCGACGTCGAATCAAAAGTTCGAGCTTAAAGTCGCCAGTCCTACGGACGCCACTAGGAAACTATGCAGGTTAAGCGATTTCGCAGATAAATCGTGTATTGCGCATTTCGCGGTCGCCACTTGTTGACGAATATTTTTCGAGATGTTACTGCACCGGATGCTACTGTACATGATAATTATATCTCTTGCACAAACATATAACTACTGAAGTTCACTACATTCGTATTGTATTATATCAATAGAATATATTGTCAATTTTTGCATTTCTTTGTTATATTAAAAATCTCGGTATGTTAAGTTAAAAATTTAAGTTTTTTTTTTGTTAAGAGATGTCCATATTTTCAGTGACTTAAAGCTGTCAAGGGCCAGACTTCTAGATTTAATTAGAAACGCAAACAATACCAGCGATTCTATAGAGCCTGCATTTCTTAGTTATTTAAGTTTGTTGTATGGATTTCTATGGGAAATCAAGCCATCTGAGGAAGAGGCGCAACATGTCGGCAGACCCAATCCTAGCAAGCTCAGAAATGTTCTTGTATTTAAATGGACACATACATTGCTTGGTGGTGGCACATTGTAATTATAAAAAGAATATTTTTAATGTAGTAGTTCCAAGATTCTTTTAAGATAATTAACTAAAAATTTGTTGTTACAGCTCTAGCACCGATTCTGTTTATGAAGCAGCTAACATGAGCGTTAATGTAGGTCTATGGTTTATGAAACATGCAGCGATGATTGCTGCAAAAGATGAGTAAATATGAATTGAATAAAATGATTTTTAAATAGTCTTCAATTTATGTTATTATACAAAAGCATGGAAAAAACAATCGCTCTCCTATTTTTTCTCTATTCACAATTTATTATAATATGTACATCATAATTACAGTATAACAATGAACGAGGCTAAAGAAGTACATAGTTTGTTAAGACGAGCCGCCGGTATATTCACCTTCGTGCAGACTGAATTTTTGCCACAGTTGGCTAATCCACCACCTTTGGGAAGTGATTTGGATCCTCGTGTGCTTAATGCATATGTCAATCAATGCACTGCAGAAGCGCAAGAAGGTTGTATTTATACACAAATGTAAGTTTAACAAACTTACTCAATTGTACTCATACGAGTATTTTTATAGTGACAGTGGCTAGAGCGGTAGAGCTCAAACATAATTCTAGCTTGATATCAGCTTTAGCCAATGAAACTAGTAAGTTGTTTCTGGATGCTGCTAATACTCTTCGTCCATTTAAACCAGAAATAACTGATCAATGGATAAAATATCTAGAACTCAAGGCGGCATTTTATCAATCTTATGTAAGTTTTTAGATATATCTAAAAATTAACGATTATTTAATTATGATTACAAGCAAAAGTATTATTTCTTGTTATTTATAAAAATATTTATCGCTTCTCGCTAAGTTTTCTCTAATGTTCTATCTTCAGGCTTATAATTATTGTGGTGAAAACTTATTAGCAATGGATAAGTGTGGCGAAGCGATACGAGCGATGCAGGAGAGTGATTCATGTTTGAAGAAAGCGAAAGTGCTCTGTCAGGAATATGGGAAAACGAATGGGCCTGCGCCTCGCGTTAAACCGGATCAGCATGCTGTATTTAGACGCTTGGCGCCCATAGTGAAACTTACACTCGATAAGTGTAATCGGGAAAACGGTTTGATGTAACTATCTATGTATATATTCTGTCTCGTTACTATTTTAATGCAGGATATTATTTTAAATGCATATTATTTTAAAATACATGATGTTTAAACAATATATTAATACAAATTTGAATCTTAGATATCATCATACAGTACCAGGAGAAGTTCCAGCTTTAGATACGAAAGCAACTTACGGCTTGGTCAGTCCAATTGACTTCCAAATGCCGTCACCAAACTCTATATGGAATTTGGGCACGTATAAGGTACTAGCAGGAGTAGCTGTGGCGAAAATAGAAAAGGAGCAGACTTTGCCGCCAGTTAAAGAAGAAGCGATTCATCAGAGTAGCAAAGAGCCGAAAAATGCAAGCGGTTGCATGTTACAATAAGATTTTCCTGCAATGATGTAGGCCATTTGTAAATGCTTTTTGTTTTCACAGTGATATTAATTTTAGTTGCAATATAGACATGTGTAGACGATGTTAAATGACACACGTATATGCGTGTCACACAAGTACAAATCTTGTTGCGAAATATGAAGTATTGATTAAGAGATAAAAAGAAAAATATCTCTGTAATAAGAAATTAATAATTATTTATTATTATGCTAATACGTTTCATCGAGTATTAAATTTCATGTTACGCAACGGGAATAGATAAACGACTATAAAAAAGACTAATCTAGCTATATCTATTGATATAAATTTATATTTGCTTCGTTCTGCACATGTCTGAATTTTTTTAGAAGCAATTTTTATATTGGCGTCAACGTGAAATAACATGTGATTCACATATAATTTACTTTTATCGTATTTAATCGATGCTATCGCTATCTGTATGTGATTCTTTACAAATAATTCTTTACAAAGTAAAGAATTGTTAATGTTGCAGATATTATTTTAATCGCTTTAGTCCGACCTAGTCAGTGTTTTAATGAAACTAAATTTTTTAATCGACAATACGAAGAAGAGAATTTCGTAAGCAATGTGCACATAGTGCACAGTATTAGTACGCATGTAATATAACGGAGAGACATGTGTAATCTTTTTCTACATATTTTTTATAAACTATAGGTTTAAACGCAAAACGTTCAATTCAGATTATAGAGATATTATATATACAAAAGTGTTTCAAAAACAAAATATTAAACTAATGCCAAGCATTAGTTATTGCTAAATTAAAACAATTATCTCTGTTAATAATTATTATTTAATGATAAAGCATTTATATATACCTGACCAATATATTATTGATATTAATTATTGAAATTAAAAAATTTACAGGTCACTCTACCTGATATTGGCTTTCAAAAGTTATATATACACGATAAGAAATTTCGTTAGCTGTTAAATAATTTAGGAGAATAATTTTTGTGTGTAATATATATTATCGAGATCAATGTAGCAATATCTTGTAACGTAGATAATAAAGAATATTAAATCACAATCTATATATATGTGTGTATATGCGTGAAAATTATATTTTTCGTATAACAATAATACGCCTGTGATATAAATATTTTAATTTATTTACCTACATATTTATACATATTCAATCTGAAAATTAAAAAATCGCTTAATGAAGACATTTCATTTACGCTCTCAATAATGATTCAAATTTAAAGGTCATAAACACTATGAATTTCTAGAAATAATCGAGAATAAATTCCCGATAGGGAATTTATGGAGCTGTTATAGGAATTTCTAGAGATTCTCCGTTTGATAGCCAATCGATCGGCACGTCCGACGAAATCAGGCTGGGCAATGTTGATCAATTGATTCTCGACAACTTCATTCCTCTCCGTATACATCTAACCTGACCCGCTCGCCGATCATGGCATTCGATCGGATTGCAATACGACGGGACGGGACGCGCGAATCGTCCGCTGTTCCTGGTGCCCTGCAGTTGACGATGACACGCGGCTACGTCGCAGCGATGAAATAGCGAACGCTGTTGGCGAGGAGACACGTCGGTGGCAGCGAACGCGAATGCGAGGATGCCGATATCGGAGCGACGCGCTGACTAGATTCGCCGAAATGGAGTAAACTTTGCGTACGCGTGAAACGTAAATATACCCGTGACGAAACAACAACTTGACAACATCCAAGTCCGGTGCTCGGTCTCTTCCTCTTCGTCGAGTCGAGAGGTAAGAGGGACGCTCAGCGTCGTTTTGTATATTGTATTCAAAGAGAGTTCTCGCGGAATAATCTCACATCTCGTGCAAACAACATTCCGCAACAACATCGGTCTACATATATCCATTTGCGTTGGCGGCAACAGATTTACTATACTACGATACTTGCGATACGATACTTGCGTGGTCGATAAAGCGGAACTATGCTCGCACTGTTCTTTTATTAATTATAAATCTCTAAATCGGAAAACATAAATTACATGCGAAGTTAAGCATTGTTATGGATTTATTAAATATCCTCTGATTCGTAAAGAAGTTTTAATTTCATCCTGGTATGATGTTTCTATACGTAAACGTTCTGATTTTCAAACTGATTAGTAAATTTACAACAAATGAGAATCTCATTTTCATATGAGAAAGAATAAACGTCGAATCATTTTTTTATTTCACTTCATTTTGTATACGCATTGGATTTAATGTTGGATAATTTTAAGTTTTTAAATTCTCTAAATCTTGTAAAGTCTCGAATCTTTTTGTAACTTTGCAATTCTTAAGCAGAGCAGGAAATAAAAATGGAGGAGAAGAGCGGTAGTAGAAATATGGTAGAGGATGAGGAGCTGGAAGATACTGAAAACATAATAATTAATGAGGTAGATGGCTTACCAAATTTGCATCCAAACTATGGACAGCTAGATCTGAAATTTAAGAGAGAAAAAGATGACACGAATATTAGATCAATTGATGAGTTGGTTCATGATGAAGATTTACCGACTTCTGTAATTGTCACAAATGTGGATCCTCGAGTGTTTAAAGGCGACGAATTGAAGGTATATATGTTGTGCGAGGTATTAAATAATGGGGATTCTTCTTCTGTTATATTGATAATGATACCATGTTTTTGCAGGTGGCCATAGAAAATCTTTTCAAACAGTTTGGAGAAGACGCTACGTTTCAGTACTTCAGATCTTTCAGAAGAATGAGAGTAAACTACAATTCCCCCAGTGCTGCAGCGAATGCAAGGATACAACTGCATCAAACACATTTTGGGGAAACTGATATTAATTGTTATTTTGCACAGCCAGTAACGCCAATAGGTTTGTAATGAGATTTTTACATTAATAAAAGTAATAAATGCAAAAAAGTTTTCACAAAGAAGAATAGTCTCTGATTCATATTGAAATTCATTTCAATTTATAGACATGGAGGATCAACATCTTCAACCACCCGCGCTTACCAAACAATTCCTCATATCTCCTCCAGCTTCTCCGCCGATTGGTTGGAAGCCACGTGAGGAAGGAGAACCGCTCGTTAATTATGATCTATTAGCTGCTATAGCTAATTTATCTGCAGGTTATTATATATTTTTATTATTTTAGATTTATACTGATGTTTTGTATAACTATTTATATTACAGGCGGCACACATGAGATACATCCGGGTGGATCGGGGCAACCAGGCATAGTCGTGCACGTTTGCGAGAATGCGAATCCGAGCGCGAAAAACGCACCTCGCATTCAACACACGCGGTGTCCGGAACATTAATTTCCTCCCAATATTCACGTCTTGAATTTGTCATACGATTTGTTTCTATGTCTCACAAAAAAAAAATCAAATTCAAGCAGGACCTATAGCGAGCGATTTTAAGTTAATGTTACATCAGAGTTACAATTAAAACTGATATTGCAAAAAAAAATTACAGCTCGAAACAATACAGACAACGTAATGTCCAGACAATGTAATGTCTGGTATTTACCAAGCTTCCTGCGGGTAGCAGTGATCTATAAATACTAATGATCTATAAATATCCGTTGTTATACATTGATCAAGATATAGAATTTATTTGTATTTATCCATTAAGAATTCGTGAAGAGTATGCTTGTGCTCCATTTCCTAAAATCTACATAATGAAGATCCGAGAAATTTTGACCTACATTGTTTTGGCCTACATTGTTTCTATGTTTCACTCAATGTCAATAATTGCATATCGTGAGAATCTGGTGAATCCGATCTGGTGAAGCTAACCATTGATGCGTCGACGATCGTTGGAATCGGTATTAAGAGATTTTGCAGTTCTACCTCTCATTGTTGGTGTGTTATTTGTATTCTTAAACAGCACGTAATGCATAACAATATTGTTGTGAATTCACAAATGATACTAATGTTAGAATAATCGATCGAATCAAAATAATTCAACTCTGACAGCTTTCGTGATTTATCTGTTTTTTCTCGTATATCTCTTTCTATCAGAAACATCTTAAAGATTATATCTCTTGAATTTTTTATTTCATACTTTGCGTGCATGCGGGAAAAATCTACGGAAATATATGGCATTAATATATATGTGATATGTGTGTGTATACGAATGTATTGTTCTAAAATAATCATGTGGTTCTTCGTTCTGTGTTTTCCGTAGAAAGCTAGCTCACATTAGCTTGAACGTTACATGCTATCTTAAAGCTATATCTCTATGGTCTCTTGTTAATAAAATTTATGAAAACTTGTTATCACTCTGCTCTTCAAGAGGATTAAGTTAGAAAAAAAATAAGCTATAGAGAGATATCGGTACGTATGTGGTCATATCAGCGTTACTAATTTACGCAGCGGCAGTGTGGTGATTGTGTATATGTATATATTGTTCTATACGTGAAAACGTATATAATTCCTGCAAGATCTGTGACCTAAAAATAATTGTTGAATATTTATAAATACTTTATAGCAGCACTTCCTTTTGTATAGTGTGATTACTGTTTGCATTCTCCCGATGATGAAAGAGCGTAAAACTGTTTCGTCTCATTTAAGTTCAGTCTTTCTTTATCGAACAATATTCCGAAGAATATTTCTAAATACGAATAATCATTACACCAGAGAAAATAATGTACAAATGATTTGTATCAAAGAGAAGAAAATATAAATACAAATTATTTTACGTTAAAAAATTCTGAGATATATTTATATATA